CTCTTTACAACAACATGAATACTGTGTAGCCTTTACCTCCGACACGCATTCCATTCTCATCACTTTCAGCTTGTGAAACCAGAACACTTATCTATGTTAAGGAAATTACAATCTGCAAAACAGTATTAATATTTTTATTGCACTTCTGCTTTAGAAAAGAAATTCAAAAATATCTCCGTATGCATTACCGATATCTTTGGTCTTCATTCCCGGGAGCATCAAAAGGCAGTGCTTCGTGTTATTAGAGAATCCAGTGCATGGAGACATCACAGCATTCAACACTCACAACACAGTTTATATTATATTAGAAGAAACATCAGCTAGTCTAGTGCCTATTGTCGGACGGATTCACTAAAAAATATTATGCAGTTTTTTTCCATTCCGTATGGCTTTGCAGAATACTTCCAAAAAGTGCGAAAAATACAACAGAATAGATCAAAGATTACATCCAAATAGTTCGAAGAACACAACCAAATAAAAACTCGAATAAAACCAATAAGTTCGAATTCTCACAATTCTGTAAACATTATGCAAATTATGACAAAGGAAAAAGCATTACAAGGCTTGGAAACAAGGTAGCTAAACGAATTGTACAGCTTGATACATAATCAACGACATTTGTGGATTTACACTCTTTTCAAAATGCGTACGTGCTTTAATCGTACTTTTCGGTAAGCTCGAACGAAGACACCACAATTGAGGTTTAAAGGTGTGATTTTAGTAAGCAAGAAGCATGGCAGCACGGTAAAGATTATCTAGAAAAGGGGGAACGTAAATTAGACTAGAGAAAGAACTGAGGAAATAGGACCGATATGTGACACCCCTAAACAGTCGCATGTATCAACGTGTCATCCGTCCCCGATCCTCTGGATTGGGCCGGTCAGTAGGAACCTAGACCAGTCACAACGATACGCTAAAGCTAAAAGACAATTGTATACCGCTTCCTATATATTATTCAATTATAATGTATAGGCCTACTGTTTTCCAGGTGCAGCTGGTTAACTGGGCAAGACCTGCGGAGGCGGTCAGTTTTGGTCAGCTACAGCGGACAAGAGATTGGCTGCTGATAATAGTTCTTTTTCTATACCTTAAAGTAAATCCAAAATTAATAAATATCAACGTTGAAATCGCATGTTCCCTATAAAAATACGTTAACAGAAACAATAAGGGCTCGCCGTTGTGTTGTCGTGCCACAGAAACTCGTTCCTATATCTCAGTTTATCTCGCTGGCTCACAGCGTTGTCGTTACCAGCTGTGCTGTCACGTGCCCTCGTATCGCGCGCTCAGCGGTGACGTCACCCAACTCGGCGAAGTGAGCAGTTGCCCTCAGAGTGAGCCCACATGAAGATCACCTTCAAACCAATTTGGCTCGTCTGTTGCTTACAAAGGACGAGGCTGTCTTTAACAGTACATCTTATCATTTCATCAGTAGTATTCATCATTAAACCTGTCTCTATTCACTTTCAGTTAATACAAACATGTACATTCATGATGACTCAAATCTTTACCGATAATATTCAATTTTAAGACACCAATGATTCTGTTTGGTGTTCTGTTCACCGCTTATTTCCTGCTACAACCTTACCTGGCCCCCGGCGAATTGGTGATTAGACAGGTCATTGTACATAGCAAAGATTTTAACGGAGGTGAGAGCTGAAGGCTGACAAGAAAACCGCATTTAGCTGTCAGTCTGGACCCCATCGCCCTCCCCCCCCCCCCCTCCATTATTTCCCCTTCTTCTTTCTCATCCCAGCCTGATTTTGTGCTCTAAAATGAATATTTGAAATAGAATTGCGATTGGCAATTGATCTGGGCTTGCTTTATTCAATGTGTATGTGTTAAGAGTATTGCAGGCCTATTGTTTCCGATTCTACCCAGACTTGGTCGGCTTGGAAAAGCGCCAGTGGTGTGGTATCAATTTGGTTCTATGTTCTAAAGACTACTCTATATCAGCTGGTTAACATTATCATTATGTACATAAGAATTTTTAGCAGAAGGGGGACCACGTTCTCAAGGGCTCTACGTGTGTTTGTGCTTGTGTGTTGTTTTATGAAAAAGGGGGG